CTAAGGTTCTAAACATATTTAACTGAAAATTTTTATGGTCCTAGCGATGCTTGCGAAATGCCAAAGCCCTTTAGACAATGTGACCAAAGTGGTCACCAAGTTCCCTGACGGTAAAATGCGCTGCGGGTACAGAGTTCTGAACATCTTCCCTGACCCTCACACTTTTGATGATGAGAGCCTCGTGGTCTTGAAGGAGGAGAAGAAGAAGCTGCCTCCTTGCAGCAAATGCGAGACGAAAGTGTACCTGCTGAATTGTGTAGGGAACGTCATACAAGGACCTGTCATTGAGAGTGATATCACCGAACCTGGAGGTAAATGAACACAATTTTTACATTCCATACTAAGATAAGTCTAATATATCACCTAATTTTACAATATTCAAAAGATCGGTGAAAAAATTATATCTGATATATTTGTGCAGTAAATTGGAATTACAGAAGTTGCTCGTATTTCACTCCGGTCTGAACAGCTCTAATTCACTTGCATAATTTCCCATTTACAATGAGCCAACATTTAATACATTTTTTAGCTCCGCAGGCTGTTACGGAAGTTAACGTGAAGGCCGAAGATCAGACCATTTCAGTGGCATGGAATTATTCTCTACCAGATAGCCCTCGCATTCGTTTCAACATATCCTATGAACGCTTTGACCTGAATGACTTTGCCCAGCCTAAGATAGCTCAAACCTTCGAGGTCAAAGGTTTGAGCCACGGCCTAAGCAATGTAGAACAGAACTCCCTCTATGAAATTTGCATTACCACCGTGATTGGAGCAGATAAAGGACCGAAAACTTGCGCCAACGTCCTAACAAAGGAGAAAAGTAAGATTTACCAGGAAGTTCAAGAAAAAATTTTGAATTTTCTCTCTACAAGGTGTTTCGGTTAGCTATAGTCATACACTGTCAATTTTTTGTATATTTAGAAGAATCCAAGAAACCAGAAGATGAGCCTATTTATTGTTCCAGCTATCAATTTTGTTTTCCAATAGTTGGGTTGCTTTATGAATATCACTGCGTTTATTATTTCATTTTTATTTTCCTTATAGCTTTAGTGGCTCCTACCAATGTGGAGCTCACAGACAGCACCAGCTCTTCCCTGACGGTGGCATGGGAACCTCCTGAGGGCGTTGGAGTGGTCAGTTACAGACTGACAGTGGTAGAGGCTCAGTTGCCAGTCGACATCGAAAGGAATGAGAATATGCTGGAACCGGGATATAAGTACCGCATTAGAGTAATGGTATGTGTCATATCCCAGGTTCAGTGTGTGTTAAAAAAATTGTTCTATAGTAATACTTCACGAGAAATATGTTCTACTGTAATACTTCAGATTTCCAGAAGCAGCCTGATCAAGACTTTGACTAACCATTAAAAATGCAGTCAAATAATTTGTTCCCTTTCTGAAATAAATTGGTTCCCATTCTTCAAATTTTCCAGTTACTGGGACTGAAAAGAGATCATGCATCCGAGTCAGACGGTAATGAAACTGTGAAATCTGTTTCAACGGACCAGGTAGATGGCGAAAAATCTACAAAAGAAGGGAAAACCACAGCGTCATCCCCACCAAAATCCATAGCAGGGACAGATGGCAGCCAAGCCGGGAGGGAAGATATTGTTTCGAACAAAACGAATTGGGTTAATACTACTCTGCCAATCGTTGCCTCTATTTTCGAAATATTTGCATTCATATTTATTTTCGCTTTCTGTTGCATACTTTGCAAAGAGAAGGTCTGGTTTTTCTTGTGGTTGTGGTTAGCGCTATATTCAAAATATTATATTTAGGGCACTCAGCCATTAATAAGTAAAATAAAGGACATTTGACATATCAATGCTGTGCACTGTTAAATAAAACACAAATTTTAAACATTCATATTAATTGTTGAATTCTAATTAATTCATTATATTTTTTAATTTTTTTTGCACATTAGTGGGGGGTTCCAACGTAATTCCATTATTCACGGCGGTTTTTATAATTTATTTTTTTTTATCGTTTTATTTCCGGTTGCATGGAAGGTGCTTCATGAAGTGATCTGACCAAATAACATCACATGCCGGTGTGGTCTCATTAGTGGAGACGACTCAGACAAGAGGTTACTAATTTGCTCAAATCTAGTCCTCAGTTCGAGGTGCTCGTGATGGGAACGCCTGCAAAAAGTTGCGGCTAAAATTCACGTTCACGTTTTTTTTCAATGGTCTTCCAACTACGGACTATAAAGGTGTTGTTACGGATGCTGTACGTGTAGCTGACGACGAGCAAACTGTGCTTGATTTAGTTTAATTGCGCCATAACTTTAGAGCCGCACCGCCAACATTTCGTGGATAATAAGACTGTTGAGCGTGGATGCTGTCCAACTGAGCGTGGATAATAAGGTGACAGCAATTCTTTCTGATGTGCTGCACAGGCAACCTGGCCTTCACAGGCATCCAGGGGCCATACCTTCAAAACTCGTTAAGTCCCCGTAAGTACTTACGCTCTATTTTCTTGTCTATGACTGGTGGATTTGGTTTGAAAGGCCGTCAATGATTGACGGATGAACTTAGGATCTCTTAACTTTTTTTGAAAGTATGGGCCCTGGTATACTGCACAGGCATCCAGGTCTTTCGGTGACGATTAGAAAAAGCCATCGTGGTCTCTACTGAAAAGTCTCGGAGATCCACGTCCCATAAACAAAGTTACTTGAAAAGTTGACATGAAAAAATTATGTTTATTATATTTTAAGCTCAAATATTCACGAGCCTTATGATCATTACTCGAGTTTTAATCTTAATCATTAACTGCCAGAGTTTTTTCCCTCTGGGTACATGGTAATTCATATATGTATATAAATGGTACATCATATATATTATGCTTCAAATCTCGAATGAATTTATCTTGATCACAACCATTTGTGTCTGGGAATTAAGAGTTCTACCTATCTTTCTTTGCGTTATTGATGTTTTCATTCTTCACAAGTTACTCAAACGCCTTCACTGCTGACATCAGTCTTTATTGTTAACAGTTTTATGTGGTGCGTGATTAGCGGTGCTGCAAGCAATGTACAGTTGCTGCAGATAACGTTGGTTCGACTTAAAAAATATTAACAACGAAAAATATGTGAAAAATTTTGTACTTGGAATTTCAAGGGAATGGACAACAATTAATTACGCACATTATTGGCTATGACACTTTTACTCGCCTTATACTATTTAAATACATTAATCGCAGTCAGAACTACGCAGTGTTCGATTAAAACTTTCCTAGATTGCACGGGGGAGTGGCTTCGACTCGCTGCTCTACTTTTTCTCAAAGCTGAATCCAATGAATTGATTTTGCAATTCACAGCTTTAGAGATAATCAGCTTATAAAATAATATAACAACATTACATATGCACAAGTAATCTTTCTTGATTTTTCAGTATCGGTATTTCTCTCCCGGATTCGATTATATTCCATTAGTATAATCCATTTATACTCTCGCCGCACGCCCCACTAGTCCACTGCATGTGTTCACTGCATGTGTTTGTCAACGAATTTTGGAAATTGCAGCATTAGCTGGTACTGGATATAATCGTTAAATAGTTTATAATTGTCGATGTTTTCTTGTCCAGAATTTCTCCCAATTAAGTTGCTGATATGTTAGGTTGCTTCAAAGTTTAGTTAATGAATAATTTGGATTCAAATTTTATTTAAATTAATTACCTCATCATGCGTCATTGATTTTATTGCATTTAATTCCCAAGCAATTGAATTTCATAAACGTTTCAACATTGAGCGATGAAGGTTTTGCATGTGTAAAAAACGCGAGTTTCTTTGAATGTGTGGGGTGACAATGCCGAGTGTTAGAGTTGTGGTGGTGCAGTGGTGAGAGACTCTGTCTTTCGCCCCCTTGCTCCCGGGTTTGAGTCCCACTGAAGGCAAGTTCTTCCGGGAAGCTCAGCTCATGGTCAACTCAGCCATTCATCCAACTCTGGTTGATAAATGAGTACCTGGCTTGTCCAGGGTGTTGTGTAATGCAATCAAATGGTTCTGGCGGGTCAGCGAGCCAGTGATGGTCGTGGAACTACCAGTGGCATTAAGAGCCTGGAAAAACTGACCTATCACCCCTCCCTTACCTAGTCGCCACATCCAGGATGGGCAATTACAACAACAACATGCAGAGTGCTTTTTTGATTTGTTATAGAGATGTAATCATAGAAAGGTTGTGATCCTCCAATTGCGTCATGAAATGAGTGGGCCTTAAATTTCCAGGTTAGAGTACGCGAAATAATTACCAATTTGATCACAAGTGGTCAGGGAAATAAAGACTTGCGCAATACAACTCCAATAAGGGGTCTATTGGGTTGTAATTGGAAACTTTCTTGGGGATCAAACGAATACAGGATAGCTGAACAAACCAATGAAGTAGTTTATATACCAGTCAATTTGCGGGACCTTGTCTAAAGCAGAAAAATGTTCTCATATTCGATGACATCTTTTGACTGCGTAAACCCTTGATACAGGCAGACATCTGTACCTTCAGGTATGTTCACAGAATGCATACTCCGGACCAAACGATTTTAATTTTTTACAACATGTACGTTAGTAATAATATTCTTCTAAATTAACAGGAAATAAACTATTTCATACTGATATGAAGAAATGTATTTAAATGCAACCTCATAATTCTTTAATTGTTACTGTGCCAGGCTAATTCAGTTACAAAACTCATGTTTTTGAGGATATCAAAATAAATACCGTACAATATCACAACAATATCATTTTGCTGCTCATTTATGCAGAAAATGGTCAACATTCAATCGAGCATATTGTCATAGCACTAAAAAGTGGCCTTCAATCTTCAGGATCGGGTTGGACTTTTCATTAAAAATATTCGGATTTTGCTTTCAATTTGCAAGTAGGAAAAGAAAGTGATATAACGATTTCAAATTACTATTAAGTGAGCAGGTGGAGTGATGTTGTTTGAGGATGAGTTAAGTTGATTTGACGAGCTCCGGCGGTGGCGGCTGGCTTTAGCGGGTTGCCACGTCATGGTGGACAGTAAATATTATCTATGGAAATTATATGTTCAACTTTTTGAAACAATTGCCCGTGCAGGCCCCAGTTGTGGCTGGTGCCCCCAGGTGTGGTTGGTGCCCCAGGTGTGGTTTGTGACTCCAGGTGTGGTTGGTGCCCCCAGGTGTGGTTGGTGCCCCAGGTGTGGTTAGGGCCCCCAGGTGTGGTTGGTGCCCCCAGGTGTGGTTGGTGCCCCCAGGTGTGGTAGGTGCCCCAGGTATGGTAGGTGCCCCAGGTGTGGTTGGTGCCTCCAGGTGTGGTAGGTGCCTCCAGGTGTGGTTGGTGCCCCCAGGTGTGTTGATGCTCCAAGGTGTGGTTGGTGCCTCCAGGTGTGTTGATGCTCCAAGGTGTGGTTGGTGCCTCCAGGTGTGTTGATGCTCCAAGTGTGGTAGGTGCCTCCAGGTGTGGTTGGTGCCCCCAGGTGTGTTGATGCAAGGTGTGGTTGGTGCCTCCAGGTGTGTTGATGCTCCAAGGTGTGGTTGGTGCCTCCAGGTGTGTTGATGCTCCAAGGTGTGGTTGGTGCCTCCATGTGTGTTGATGCTCCAAGGTGTGGTTGGTGCCCACTATTCTATGCCTTGAGCGATTATCAAAGCGCCGCTTTAAGTGCATGTAGCGACTTACATAATGCCCAAGTGTTTATAAATGGACTGAACTAAAAAATTTGGTATTTTTTCAAAACGTTTCTGTGTGATGTGATGCCAAGTAGTTGTACTTAACGTTGCGCCAACTCGGAGGTTGCGTGAGTAGAGTTGCCTATGTTCAATCCATTTATATGAAAGTTGAATTGTATAAAATCATTTATTCAATGGGAGCATGGCGAATAATTACTTGTTGAACCAGATTATTAAGGCATTTTGAGAAATCTTGCCCTGGAAAAGAATCAGCATGCAGATATAACATGTTCCATCCACATTCTGTAAATCTTCTTGGTTCGTACGATATGAATTGAATAACTAATAATTGAATGAATTCCTTCTGGATTGGCGTCAGCATCAAGTAAAGTCGATCCTTTATCTTCTAGCCGGAGTCTAGTGACCCTTATGCAAATTTCTCTAATTTTTTCCGAACTGCATAAGATAAGCCCAGAATCATACATATGAAATTCAATGTGAAACCATCTTTATTTAAAGAGAGCTCAGTAATGAAGTGATAACAACGCTATGCGCTCACAAACTCATTTCTCATAAAATCGTGGTTATTTATTTCCCCATGAGTTGCGATTATTATATCGTAAATGCCCAGTAGAGTTCGTTCATTATCTAATCGGACGAGTCTGTAGAGACTTCAGAACGACGTTTTACAGCATGGAAAAAATAAAATCATGGATCAACTTGGAATTCATACATATGTATCCTACAAATCAGTAGTTTCTGTGAAACTAAAAAAGAAACAAATATGACCAATTTAAATCATTTTACTACCAAAGTAACAACCATGTTATTTGCCCCTACATGTTATTATAGAAGGGCCAGTAAGATCGTCAAATTTAAATGAAACTTCTTAACCTCTTTTGATTTAATGAACAAATTTTTAACTGAAATGGAAAGGTTTCATCTTTTTTTGTTGATACTATTTACACGCGTGAGATCAATAACAAACTTCTGAGAATTTTATTTCATTTATGTACATGATTACTGAGTTCTTAATAGTATTATCCTGTCAACGTCCCATTCTCTCTTCTATTTTTCGAGGAATATTTTTCCTTTTGATGAGCTGCACTGCAGGTCCAATCCGTTTGGAACGAAAAAGTGGTTTTAAACACTATAAAAAGTTAATAGTGTTTATTTTGTCCTTATCGCTTCCAAGATTTAATACGTACATTTTCTAATTAAAAACACAGATAAAATATAACTCTTTATATGTGTTAAGTCGTAATTTATGTCTTTAGATGTGCCAGAGTTTGCTTTATGATACATTTGTTATCATCAAATATAATAAAACTCTCATGAAATTACAAAATGGGAGAGGATTATTTTAATTATATAAATGCAAACTTTTATTAATTGTTTCAAAACAGCCTGTCAATCAAATCACGAATTTTACTTACCAGAGTAAATTTTTCTATAATATGTCACAAGAGTGTGAGATTAGGGCAACATGGGGCAGCGCCCCCCCCCCCTTTTTCAAACTAATTTTTTATGAAGTTTTAATTGATACGAGGTGGTTCTTTGTTTTGTTTAAAGGTACAACTAATGAGAAATGTATAATGTGAATTAGACGCCTATATGTTTATTCAATTTTTAATGAAACACTATTTTGTAAAAAGTGTCAAAATGGGCCCATTGCCCCACCCCTGGGGCCATGGGCCCATGGGCTTGGAGCAAGGCGCCCACCCTTGGTCCCTTTACCACAATTGCATATTTTTCGTTTAAAATTGATATAAACAACACTTTACAGTTAAAAATAAGATGAATGTAATACAAATTATGACACTCATTCATATATTAACAACTCAAAAAATTATATCCTTACCCTGAAAAAATATACTCTTGGGTTAAAAAATCTATTACTGACGTGAAGAAAAATATTTCATTAACATAAAAATATATATCGATCCTTGACTTGAAAAATATATCCGTGCGATAAAAAATTCGTCCATGACATGAAAAAATGTATCCTTGACTAGAAAAATATATTTAGTTGATCAGAAAAAAACTTCGTTCCAGTTTCGTCCATAATCCAGATATTATGTGCAGAGAATTCGTACCTAATCGTGATTTCAGCCAACACCATAAAAACACATCAACTTTTGGCTCATTGGTGTTGACTGAAATCAACTTTTGGCAGGGCAAGAGGCAATAACTCGATAAGGGGTCATAAATACGCATAACTAGAAACCAAACCTGCTGCATTGAGGCAGGAAATCAAAAATCATGCAATATGAAGTGTAATTTGTAATGCAAAAAGCTAGTCTTAGTTATGAAGAGGTCATTGAGACAAATCTAATGATGTATAACACAAGACTTCTCCATGGGCGTTTTGCCCCGTAACACGTGTGGGCCCGTTGCCCCACTAGGTATCATTTTAATTTATATCGTGTCAACATTTTATTTTAAAAGCTGATAGTCTAAACTTGATCTCAAAATTATTCCTATAAATATTACTTTCAAAATATAATTCACAGTAATTTCAAAAGCTTCATCTACAGTAATCGAAAACAGTTTTATTTAGCAGCAAAAAATTTTTATCTGGGCTAAAACAGTTATTCACAGATAACTTAATAACGCAAACTCTTAGCAAAACGTAAATCCGTACACTTCATCTCAGTGAAACTGTCGACCGGCGGTAGAAAAAAAGGGCCAATATCTGCCATACTTAGCGAGAAACCCGCCATGGGCCCATGACCCGCAGTGGGCTCGCTGCCCCATGTTACCCTATATTAAAGATTTATTACCTCAGCATTCGTTCGATAAAACACTGCCTCAATGAACACAATAATGAACAGTTTATAATAAAAGGCTCATATCAAGAAATGCGATCGCTTTAAATATAAATTTCTTAATATAGATTATGACGCTATGCATGTAATTGGGAATTTTGAATTGATTGTCAAGAAAAAAATTACGTTGTTATTGAGGGCACTGAGGTAGCCATTGCAAAAAATATTCCTCTTAATCTTGCAACGGATCACAGTATCGAAAATCAATCGCCATTATCAGTTTCCTCTACTTTAGTGATTTTCTGGCAGGCTCGAGATGAGCTGTCATTCTAACTAATGAGCATAAGCATTCGCATAAAGTCCTGACTGATAAAGCAATTTATGTTAATTTTCAATTTACACTACGCTAATTACAGGAATAAATCTGTGTGTTAATTAAAACAATTTTAAAATAGGTAGCGGCCTGAAATGATTAGCTTATTGAGGTTTCAATAGGATAATGTGCAAGGGAGCTATAGCTGCTTGCTCATTTCTTTTCAGTGTTGGATTTCTCGTAGCGCCCACATAATTTGGTTTCCTGACTAATTATTAGCAATGCTCATTTTTTTCCAGTACATAAAAGTTTTTATATGATTGTATTAGTCATACACTGTTAGAAAAAACGGTCGAAAAAAGTGTAACACACGTTATATTTCGATGCTCATTTACAGTAATCCGGTCATTCAGGTACTCTACCGTGGTTTGTTGGACTTCAGCGCCCAGCGGTAGAGGGCGCCACGGTCATCAGTCGAGTTAATACCTAGACGCCATC